ACAAAACTGAGTGGAAACAAGAAGACCCATACACAATGCAATAGTTTGAGCCAAGGGACTCTCACAACACCAAACACAGATGAGTTTCAGAGACAGACTAAGATCTAGGTGCATCTTAACAGTTTCTCTTTGTTACTAGCATGTTCTTTGACTACCAGGAAGTTAAGAGCCACTTAATTTTAGGAAATAAGGCACACAATCTAGGTGAACAACCAGGAAATTCCACAAAAGTGCATGAACCAACTCAACACAAGCAAAACTACAAAAAGGAACCTGAAACACGGCTTTAGATCCCAGAACAGAGGCAGGTGGATCTCTTGTGAGTTACAGACCAGCCTGGTCTACAAAGCTACACTGAGAAACCCTGTCTTGAAAAACTAAAAAACAAAACCAAACGGAACCTGAAGACAATAAATCACAAAATAAAGTGGTTCTTCGAGGAGGTGACCACCTGGGAAGACTGGAGAGGATAGGGGTTGGGGCAATGGCAAACAACACAGACAGAGACTTGAATGCTGTGAACAGCACAATGAATCTACCAAAATTAGCTCAAAAGGAAACCAAGAACTGATGACTTGGTCATTTGAGGTGAGGTAGAGATGGAGATTGGACAACTTCCAAGAACCAGTTCTCTTCTTCCAGTATGTGGGTCCAGGGAATTGAACTCAGGCCTGTCAGCCTTGTGGGCATGTACCTCTACCTCCTGGGCCATCCTAATAACCCTAGATGAAGCTTCTAAGGATAATTTGTTGAGCTTGGAGGGAGCTCCTGTTACGGTACTTGCCTACCTCAGCAAGACCTTACTTGGAGACTTTAAAAATACATATAAACTTAAGTTGGGACTTAAGGGAAGCAGGACCTAGATTCATTTTCTGTCCTGTGATAAAACATCCTGACAAACTCAAAGGAGAACAGGCTTATTTACACTTATAATTCCAGGGTAGAGTCTACCACTTGAAATAGCTAATCACACCCATAGTCAAGAGCAGAGAGAGAATGAACACATGCATCCTTCTAACACTGAGCTCAACTTGTCTACCTTTGTACAGTCTAGGACCCAAACCCAAAAAATGGTGCCTCCCACTGTGGGCTGGCTCCTCCCACACCAATGAACACTATAAAGATAATCCCCACAGATTTGCCCACAGGCCAACCTGATGTAGATAATCTCTGTCAAATTTACAAAACGTGTGTGTGTGTATGTGTACGTGCGTGCGTGCGTGCGTGCGTGCGTGCGTGTGTGTGTGTGTGTGTATGGATGTCTATGTGGGTGTAAGGGTTGGATTGGTGGTTTAGTAAGGGCAATATTCAGAAGTCATCAATTTAATTTGAAAAAGTTGAAATATAAGTGAGATTAAATAGATTACATAAGAAGGCAGAGGCAGGTGGATCTCTGAGTTTGAGGCTGGCCTGGTTACATGGTGAAACCCAGTCTCTAAAAAGAGGAGGAGGAAGAGAAGTACACAGTTGGATCTATGGATCAGGGTTCCAGAAAGGATCTGGGTTGTAAATCATATTTGGGAGTTGTCAGTATCCAAATGATTAAGCCACAGGTGTTGGCTCACATAATCTGAAGAGATAGTTCATTGATTCTCAAAATCTGGCTGCTGGACCAGCAACCTAAGCATCATCGGGAAACCTAACAGAAATTTTCAGGTTCCACTCTAAACCTCCTAAATCAGAAATCCCGACTGGGCCTGCAATCTATGTACCTACAAATCCACTGACTGTGAGAATTAAGAAGGCATTGGACCTTGTTGTAAGATTTCCAACATTTGCCAGGTATGATGATGTACAGCTTTAATCCCAGCATTTGGGAGTTTAAGGCCAGTTTGGTCTACATATCAGCCAGAGCTACACAGAGAAACCTTGTCTCAAAAACGAGGAAAAACAAAACAAAACAATATTTAATGCAAGAGGTTGAGCAGCAAGAATATGACGACCAACAAGAAATTAATATTTTTAAATAATCAATCCCCCAAAGACATGCCCATGGGCCAGCCTGATCTAGATAATCCCTCCTTGAGGCCTTCCACGTGACTGAGAGCACAACTATCCCCATGCTCGGAGGCAGGCAGCTCTCTCTGAATTTATGGCTGCTTTTTACCAGGACAGCGTACACATGATGAACTGCTGGGGAAGAACTAAAGGGAACAAGGTACCTGCTGCAGAAGCACACGGGAGGGAAGCACAGCTGTCAGCCTCAGCAGGAGCAGCATTTCATGACTGACAGTCAGAACTGTTCCACAAGGTGGTAGAAGAATACATTTCCTCAGTATTACTGCTTTAAATTTTTTTTTCTTGTATGATTGTGCACTGTGTTCATTCAGTGCCCAGAGTCCAGAAGAAGGGGTTGGATCCCCTAGGAATAGAGTTACAGACCACTGGGAGCTGTCATGTGAGTGCTGGGAATTGAACCTGGGTCCTCTGAAACAACAGCCACTTAACTGCTGAGCCATGCCTTCCCCAGACTCAAGAATTTCTACAGACACTGTATCCCTCACTGTGTGGACTCAGTGTGCACCACTCACAATGCCTTATTCTTGGTGCCACTAAAGACACAGACCTCAGTTTCAGAAAGGAGAGGAGTATTTGGGATCCAAATCACAGTACTTCTACCTGGACAGACAACCTCACTAAGCAAAATGAAGGAATAAAAACATCTAGGCACAGACTTAGGAAACTGAAATCTTTTGGCCGGGAGTAAATGCAATGGCTTCTAGTTCCTTCATGGGATCATCTGCAAGGGCAATTCTACTGAAAGATGTGCACACACTCTTGGTCCATTGCAAATAAAACACTTCACTAAGTAATATCTATTTATGATTTGGCTTCCCAAATCTGCTTATAGAGCAGAATGTGCTGACAATACAGATTTCTCACTGTAAATTCATAAGCTGGATTTCAAAAACTATGGGTTTACAGTAGATACTAGAAGGAATCTAAACTCCTGCCCACAAGCTCGCATGCCAAACACTGTCCACTGAGCCATCCCCAGCCTCCCTTTCGATTGTTATAATTCTGGGCTTTCAGAGGCTTAGGCCAGGTTCTTAGCTAAACAACAAATCACAACACTCCCATCCCCCCACATCATACATCATAGCAAACGCTGGCTTTTCATTAGCTGCCATTGATCAATTTCTACCTCTCCCCTCCCAATTTATTTCTATACTCATCCATTCATAAGCTGTTTTAAAATAGACTAGTGTTTGTAGAAGGGGACCATTGGGCCTCTGTGTCTGCAAGTCCCACATCCATGACATCAACTAGCCTTGGACAGCAAATACTTTGGAGAAGAGGCCGTCTCTACAAACACGTGCAGACTTTTCCTTCCTGCCATCGCTCTCTAAGCAACACAGCACAGCAGCGATTTAGCCAGCATTCACATCATGGTCTGCATCGGAAGTAAGTGAGAAATTATTTAAAACATATGGCATGATGTGTATAGATTACAGTCAAACACAAATAGAGCATGCCATTTTCTGTGACAACCTTGTGTATACTCAGGTTTTGATAACTAAAAGAGATCCTAGAACCAGCTCTTTGCAGATGCTGTAGGACAATGAAGGAAATGTTTATTTATCCTATTATGCATTCAACAAGTATTCAAGACTATAACCCTGTGCCACAACCATGTCTGACAACCATGGGAGACAAAAATTTCATAGTACTTATAATTGAGCAATTAGCTTTATGAAGAACAGACTTCTAGAAACAGATTTTGATTATAAAAGAAAATTAAAAATAAAAAATGTTTTTAGTGTGTATGATTAAAGCAGCACCTGGCTATCAAAAGAAATGCTGGAATTGAGTGACTTTAAGCCAAATGTGATAGTATACACCTTAGCCCCAGCACTTGGGAGGCAGAGATAAGCTGGTCTCTAGGAAGCCAGACAGCTGGCCTACATAGGAAACTCAGGCCAGCCAAGGCTACTCATTGAGACCTTATCTTAAGAAAACAAACAAACACATCTCTTGGGGCTGGAGGATTGGCTCTGAGGTTAAGAGAGCATGTTGATCTTGCACTCTTACAGAGGACCTGGGTGTGATTTCTAGCACCCACATGGTGGTTCACAAGGGTTTGTAACTCAAGGAATCTGACACCCTCTTCTGACTTCCACAGGTACCAGCCACACTTGGTAAAGCAAAACATCCATTCAAAACATCCATACACATAAAATAACAAACTAAATAAATTGTTTCTAAAAACAAAAATATAAACCTGGTGCTGGGCTGGCATCATGGTTCATCAAGTAAAAGTGCTTGCCACCAAGCATGATAATCCCAGTTCAATCCCGAGGAAGAGGGCACCAAATCCTACAAACTATTCGCTGGCCACCATATACAGACATATATCTGACACTTTGGACGAAAGGGAAGAGCAACTGGAATTAAGTACAAAGGGGACTGTGGGCTTTCAGATGTGTAAGGAACTTGGCAGTTTCTTCACAGAAATAGTAACTAGGATGTAGATTGACTCTGAGGCGTTTGGGGGTCCTGCTTCCACATCTTCCTGTCCCCCAGCATTGGCACACCTGTAATAGGCCTCTGTCTTCTCTCCTTGTTCCTCTCTATGACTACCAAAAACGTGCATATGCTCAAGACCCAGTCTCCCCCCACCCCTCTCTATAGATAGATAGATAGATAGATAGATAGACAGACAGACAGACAGACAGACACACACACACACACACACACACACACACACACACACACACACACACACACACACACACACACACACTCACTCACTCACACTCACACAATGCCATTTTCCAGAGCCTGGAATTTTATGTCATGGAACTGTCTCAGCCTTTCACATACCACCACCCAAGCTCTAGGCAAATTATGTAATGACCTCAGGTGGAGAATCTCTACTCTGCTCCAGCCTCTGCTTCTCTTCCCTCATGAGAAGGCAGGGCAGGACAGACAAATGACAGATGTCTACTAAGACAGTATTTTTTGGTGTAACAATACTGAAAGCATTCCTCACCCCATACCTTGAGTCTGTGGGCTGTAAGGAGACAGAAGTTTGGACCTCTTCTTTTCATATCCTTTCTGTGTGATGTCCCCTAAAATTAGCAAGAAACAGAAATAGGTTATACATTATCCTTATTCTGCGGCTGTTCACTGTAAAAAGAAAAAATAATTACAGAGTGCTTCAGAAGTACCACATATAGAATGCATTTTTAACGTATGGTTCTCTGTCAAGACTCTGTAAAGTGTGACTTCCCATAAGCTTGGGAAGGACTACTTGTGGAAAATTGCAGGCTTGTCCCTTCATCAGCAATTCGTGACATACAGTTTCAGAGGCTCCCTGGCACCCCTCAGTGCCCCTCACTTCCTTGGTATTTAGGATACTCCAAAATGAAATGACAGCCAGGCACCTGATATTTGAAAAGGGATTTGCAAGGCCCCTCTGATAATACTTGCATCAGAATCAGAAGTCTGGAATTCCTATACACCCTCTACTTGAGTCACTAATTTGTATTGTTTATATACAAGGTTGTTCTTTTCTAAAAGGTTAAATAAAATGCACAAATAAAGTATATACACATACAGATACAACAGAGTGAGCTGATACACAGGAAAACTGCCCGAACTCCAAGGAGCAGGTAGATGGGCAGTGAGCAGGCTGAGTGGGAGAGGAACCACACAAGCCCAAAAGGCATTCAAGGGAAGATAAATGCTTCAAATCTGTGACAAGAAATTCACTAACTAGGGCTGGAGAGATAGCTCAGAGGTTAAGAGCACTGAGTGCTCTTCCAGAGGTCCTGAGTTCAATTCCCAGCAACCACATGGTGGCTCACAACCATCTGTTATGAGACCTGGTGCTCTCTTCTGGTGTGCAGATATACATGGAAGCAGAATGCTGTATACATAATAAATAAATATCTTTAAAAAAAAGAAAGAAATTCACTAACTAGTGTAATACACACAGTAGAAGAGCACTTTCTGAAAAAAGTTAATTTTTTAATCAGAGAAAGGTCTATTTAAAAATGAAGTTTTACACATAGCTCAATGTATAATAACAGAAATAGTTTTTAAATAGCATAAAAAATAATTTGGCCAGGCATCAATGGTTCACGCCTTTAATCCCATCACTCGGAAGCCAAAGACAAGTGGATCTCTGTGATTTTGAGGCCAGTCTAGTCTACAGAGCAAGTGCCAAGATAGGCTCCAAAGCTACACAGAGAAACCCAGTCTCTAAAAACAAAACAAAACAAAATAAAAAGATAATTTGAGCATATAACTTCCTAGCATTTTTCCCTAAGACTTATTTAGGGGGGTGTGTGTGTGTGTAATCCCATCACTCGGAAGCCAAAGACAAGTGGATCTCTGTGATTGTGAGGCCAGTCTAGTTTACAGAGCAAGTGCCAAGATAGGCTCCAAAGCTACACAGAGAAACCCAGTCTCTAAAAACAAAACAAAACAAAATAAAAAGATGGGGGGCCGGCAGATGGGCGCAGAAGCTAGGAGGCTATTGGTTCCCAAAAGTTCTGGATATTTACAGAAATGGGCACCAGGATCTGAAACAGAGTCCCCATGTTGCATAGCAAGTACCCTTAACCACAGAGCAATCTCTCTAGCCCCTACATTGTTTTTATTTTTTTATTCTTTTGGTTTTTGAGATAGGGTTTCTCTGTGTAACAGTCCTGGCTGTCCTGGAACTCACTCTGTAGACCAGGCTGGCCTCAAATTCACAGAGACCATCCTCTGCCACCCAGCTCTGGGACTAAAGGTGTGTGCCACCACCACCCATCATTTTTAATTTTTGAGACAGAAGTTTGCTATATAACATGGGTTAGTTTTGAATTCACAATCTTTGTGCCTCAGCCTCCTGAGGGCTCAGATGTACACTGCCATCCCTGGCTCTCGGCATTCACGTCTTTAACATTTACTGTGTATACGCCAAGGGATGAGAGAGAATTTGGTGACATAAAGCTGAAATTCAGGGTGATGCAAATCTGCTGTTGCTGGCTAGCTTTGGCATACCAGACTGGACAGATGGGAGGGGTAGGAGGCATGCTGAAGACAGACAGCAAGGACAGAAAGCCTAGATGCCCCAACCTGCTACACAGATAAAGGGATGAGAAAAAGCAAATGAATTAAAAAGAATGTGAGGGATGAACCAAGAGAGAGGAGGAAGCCTGGGAAAGACTCCTTGACTGGCTCATGACTTGAGCAACTGGATGAATGATGGTGCCACCTGCTGATAGTGACAGAGATAAGCTATGTTTCTGACGGGAAAAACACAGGAGCTGAACTTGGTGCAGGTCTGTGGGACACACAGAGATGCCCCATTAACAAGGGAACATACAGATCTAGAACTCAAAACCACATGTATTGAGAATCATCAGGATACTGATAAAAATAAGTTACATTTTCTAAGTTGTCTGACAACTTCTATAAAAGTTCTGACTTAACTATGAATGTATCCAATATTGTATTTATATGTGTACAAACAAAAACCTGAAAGAATGCCCCATTCTTGTGGTGAGAAATCTGGAAACAAGCCAGTATTTATCAGTAACTTTCAGTTAGCAGCAGCAAGGCCCTGGAGTGGAGATGAGGCACGTGGGAATGTCTCAGATGGAGAATGAGAGGCTGTGAGCACTTAGGGACGAAGAACAGGGATAGTCTGCAGTCACACATCATGCCCTATCTAGCCCAAATCGCAACAATGCTGAGGCTAAAAGGCCCTGATCTAGGTAGGCCCTGATCTTTCCCACTAAATACAGTGGGAAAGAACAATGTCTAAAATTTGTTCCTTGTAAACAGCAACAGCAGAACAGAGGGAACATATGACCAAGTCCTATAAAACACAGACCTAGTATGTCTCCGCACACAGAGACACATATATCTAGAAGACCAGGAAACAAGAGAGTTCGCCTTACAGAGCAGACTTCAGAAGGAGCTCTGCTTTGTTCATATACTCTGACCAACTCTGATTTTGACAAAATAGGCTTGGCTTATACTATCTCATTTCCCCCTCATAAGCCATATATAGCAGAGCATACCTATCATCTAAGCCCTTGGGAGAAAGAGATAGAGGACTACGGCAAGTTCAAAGCCAGCTGGTCTACTTGCTGAGTTATAAGCTGGCAAGGGGTGTGTTTCAAGTTCATATCTCAAAAACAAACAGAACTTTTTCCATTAAGAAAGAATGAGGGGCTCCGTCGGCCTGACCCCCTACCAAAAGTCCTCATCCAGTGGCTGATGGAAGCAGAGGCAGACACCCACAGATACACACTGCACTGAACTCGGAACCTAGTTGCAGAAAGAGAGGAATGAAGACTAAAGGGGTCAGTACCAGGCTGGTGAAACCCACAGAAACAGCTGGCCTGAACAAGGGGGAGCACATGGACCCCAGACTGCTGTCTGGGAGGCCAGCACAGAACTGATCCAGACCCCTGAACATGGGTGTCAATGAGGAGGCCTCCACACTCTAGGGGGCCCCTAGCAGTGGATTAGTATTTTTCCCTGGTGTAAGAAGGGACTTTGAAGCCGGGCCTTTAATCCCAGCACTCGGGAGGCAGAAGCAGGCAGATCTCTGTGAGTTCAAGGCCAGCCTGGTCTACAGAGCGAGTGCCAGGATAGGCTCCATAGCTACACAGAGAAACCCTGTCTCGAAAAACCAAAAAAAAAAAAAAAAAAAAGGGACTTTGAGAGCACATCTCACATGAAGGGACGCACTCTCGGCCTGGGCACATGGGGAGAGGGAGAAGGGATTGACATGTGAAGCAATCTTGTTCCTAATTTGAAATAAATAAATAAATAAATAAGAAACAAAAGCAAAAAAAGGAAAAAGAAAGAATGAGGGGAGCTGGAGAGACGGCTCAATGGTTCAATTCTCTATCTTGTAGATAACTTAAGAGTTCTCGAAACCTACATGTGTGACTCCAGCCCCAGGGAATCCTACGCCTCTCGCCTCCATGTGTGCACACCCCCCCACACACACACATACAAATAACTTTTTATAAATATTTATTTATATTTTTTAAGACAGAGCAAGGACTAGTGAGATAGCTCAGTGGATAAAAGCACTTGCTGCCAAACTGGCTGACCCCAGTTCAATCCCTGGTACTCACATGGGAGGAGAGAACCACCAACAAGTTGCCCTCTGACCTGTGCATGGGAGTCCACACATACACACTCACACCATGTTTAAATTACATAAAAAAAAGAATGATTATGTATGTATATTTCCTAGCATAAGACAGCTAAATTATCTAATGGAAAAAGAACAGGTTATATTATACTTTGTATGGTATATTCAACTGTTAGAACAACAATATTTTTAAACATACAGTAAGCATTAAAAATGTGACTGTCTTTCTTCTGTATTGATCTCTTCATCTTTGCAGAGCTGGGGCTGCCCATTATTTCAAGAAATTTTAAATTTTCATTTGTTTTACATACTGAATCATGCAAACTAAATCACAAGATTTAGATCACTGAATCCAATTCTCTAATAGAATAGTGAGAAAAAAATAATCGAGACTCTTCCCATCGGCCAATTCAAAAATTCAGGTAATCGCAAAGAATACACACAATGAACAGAGAAAGAGGACCTACTATGCAGGAAACCTTCACTGCAAACAGGAAAACTGTTTTCCTATGTAAAGATCACTCAGTTCCTTCCCACTCAAACACCCCTCTGCATCTCCCACTCTCTGGTGTAGGGGGTGGAGCACTCCCAGTGGCATCCCTAATAGTGAAAGGCCTGTACAAGGCTTTCTTCAGTGCTCAGTCTCCATCACTCATGGTCAGTAAATGATCTTGGACAAACTTGGACTCAGCAGCTAGGTCATCCATCAACCACTGAACGTCTCAGGTTCTGAAAGGAGTCAATCAAGAGAGTCTAATTTTGCCATGCCAATTATCTAGGTAAGATTTGGAATTGAGCAAAGACCCAGAAGAAACAGAGTGGCAGTAGGAATGTGAGGACTCTTGACTTTGGCTCCTAAAAATCTCTATTCTGACTGTAAAGTCTCCCACAACCGGCTCCTCCGAGGCTTGTCTCCTTGGGCTCATCTCCTGCAGCCCTGTGCACACTTGTGTGGGAGGGAGCCCTTAGCACACCACTGGTATTTAATTAATGATCTGCTTATACCTCGGGCTTCCCTACTACACTGTGCACTTGAGGGCAAGGATTGTCATGTTCAACTTAGTGGCCGCCCACGGCCTGGTACAATACACACTTGTTGAACAATGAAGAGACTGGATGAATTGGTAAAATGGAAGCAGTGAGGGAAAAATAAATCAAAGAGATGTGTGTGGTTGGGTGGAAAAGCTGGAATGGAAGAAAAAAGAAGTCTTTACTTCAGCAGGAACTGAAAGGCTTCAGGAAAGGAACTCAGAGATATTTACTTAAATCTGACAGCAGACCTTAACGGTGGACAGAACAAAGGGAGGGCCAGGTGGCGCATGCCTTATAATCCCAGCACTCGGGAGGCAGAGGCTGGTGGATCTCTGTGAGTTTGAGGCCAGCCTGGCCTATAGAGTGAGACCTTGTCTCAAAAAAACAAAACAACAAAGGTGACAAGAAAAGAACTTGCACGGCCGGGAAAGCAAGAGGCAGAAATACATGATGGGGCCTTGAAGCCAGAGGAATCCACAAAGACGCAGATGCGCACACTCAACTCCATCAAGCCATCGACCAGGATTCAGAGCTCTTAGGTCATCCTCACCCCAAAGGCGAGCACACTTCACTGTACTGAAGCAATGCTTTTCAAACCTGACCCCACCTTTTTATCGCTCACAGGGCTGTTGCTTCCTAACTCTACCACTGACCCAGCCCCCGATCATTTATTTTTTTAGAGGTTTATTCTATTTTTAATCCACTTTCTGCCCCTGGTGGGGAGGGGGACACAACTTTGTGGAGTCGGTTCTCTCGGCCCTTCCATGGGACCCAGGGATCAAGCTCAGGCCATAAGGCTTGATGGCAAGCAGCTTTATTCACTGAGCCATCTCTCCAGCATTTGAGTTTTTTGAAAACTAAGCAAATACAGGGATTGACTTCTCTCTACCACTAAGATAATGTGTTCCACCCACGTGTATCCTTATCAGAGAACACCTGTCCAAAGGTCTGCACAGCTGGCTAGGAAAGAAATACAGTCATAAAAACAACCAGCCAAGAGCAGGCTGGGAGCCACATAACTTGAATCTGTTTAGCCACCTTCAAAATTCTGCTTCAGCAAGGCAGACAAGATGCCGCTGATGCTGCTGTGAAATTGGGTATACACCCTCACATGGACACATGTGTAGGCAAGACACCAATGTGAACGCGCACGCACACACACACACACACACACACACACACACAACTTTTTTTAAAACCCTAAAAGTACTGATTTATCTCTAACATTCTTTGTGTTTCTTTCTACATGTAGGTGAAATAAATTTTGTTTTGAAAAGGCAATGTTTTCATAGCTAAGAAAGAAATGAAGTTCTGCTAAACTATTACAATCTGTAATGAATTCCAGGCCAGCCTGAGCTACAGTGAGGCCCTGTCTTAAAACAATAGCTGGAAGATAACAGTCTTCACTTACCTAATATTTTTCAAGTCAGTTTGGTTTTTTTGTTGTTGTTGGGTTTTTTTGGGAGGGGTTGTTTGCTTGTTGTTGTTTTTGTTTGGTTTGGTTTTTTGTTGTTGTTTTTGTTTATTTGAAAGAGGGTTTCTCTGTGCAACATGGATGGCTGTCCTTAGAACTCATGGTAAACTAATTATTTTAAATCATTCTTGTTAGTTTTACAGAACAATTTCTAAAAGAAATGAAGATGTCCAATTTTCCATTCTCTGTAAATGTCCTCTAACCTCATTTACAACAGTGACTAGAAGAACCCTGACTGCACTCTCCTAAAACTCCAGTCACGGTATTGTTTCGGCTACACAGACCAGCTTTCTAGGTCAAATATATGACTTCTTACAAATGGTATTTCACTAAAGGCATTATACAAGTTCAAACAAATAAAAGGCAACAAAGTAAAACATTGAGTAGCTGAACTCCTAAGTGTGACTACA